CCTCCAGAAAATTTTCAGATTTTCCATTCCTGCAGGACAGTATTTTTGGCAATTTCTGATGTGGATTTTCTTGAAAATTGCTGTATTCTTAGGATTTATTAGAAATAAGACAAATTCCTTCTTATTTCCTTCTTGACAACAAAATTTCCTTGCTATTTCGTTGTAATGTTTATTTCCTAGGCAACAATCACATTTCCTTGAAAAGGCCAAAATTTCTTTTTGCAACAAAATTACAGTCAGTTGATGAAGCACTTGTTTAATTACCTTCCACCATCATGCTATAATTTCAAATTTTTAATTTGCCAATAGTGAATAACCCCCACTGCCTCCTGCAGGCTTTTAGCCAGGGTTCTAAAAGAGGGCGTCCAATTTTGGTATAACGAGACATCGACAGTAAGGGGGGGGGGGGAGAAAATGTCCCTCTGAAAAACCTTTGAAGTTTATGTTACTTCATGTCAGTATCTGTTCCAAGCTTGTTTGAAAATTTTCAAAGCATTTGGCTTTGTGAGTTTGTGCCGCTATGCTTCTTTACTTATAACTACGATATTTTTATTCAGCCAGGTACACCATCAAATTGATCAAAATGTCAAATGTATAATAATAATGAGAATTGAAGCTGTTTTGTTTCAGATATATTAATATACTTAGGAAAACAATTGAAAATAATTTCCCTTTCCCCCCAGAATTTGGGCATCCAAAGGTGTCCATTTTTCATTCTAGGGGCGTCCCAGCCTTTCTGGCTAAAAGCTTGGCCTCCTGTCTTTACAGTATCTGCAACACCATAAATTAAATAAGTTTTTATTAACCAGTTATTTCCTCATTTGAGTTTCAATGTTTAGTCATGTAATAAATTAATATGAAATAATAGGGATCAGAATATAAGTGTTATTGAAGTTGATGATGCTCATGATGCTGATGAAGAGGAAATACTACCTGAGGCTACCTTCCTGAATAATCCGAGTGAAACAGACAATCCAGAGACAAGGGTAAATACCAAACTAAAACTAGAAATACATATTGTACATGCATGCAGCAATAGTCTGTGTGTTGTGAACTAACACTTTCGAACTAACACTTTCGAACACGCTGAGTTCAAATCCGAAAAGTTCCCACATGAAGTATTTGATGATTAAAAACAATAGTAGTTGCAATGCTAACATGAAAATAATATGGGAAAATATTAAACAATAAGTATATGAAATTACACAGTTCGAGTATAGCTGCAGGGGAAACTTAAAAAACTCGTGTTGCTGACAATAGTTTGCACGGAAATAGGGTAAAATATATTTGCTTTTGAAATACGCACAAGCTTTTTGTTAGTTATATTTTGGTCAAGCCACATTTGTTGCAGGAAAAAGACCATTGTAAGGGGATAGTCATTAAATACAGTGGGGGGAGGGGGGGCGGGGGGGTTGGAGGAGAAACTGAAATTTTTAACAAAATTTTTCAGACCATCTATTACATAATGGACGACAACTTTGCACCACTTAGCACTTCGCTATATTCTCAAATATGCGAGTGTAAATAGCCGAACGGAATTAGTAACTTTGCCCGGGCCCAACAACGCCCGAACGGCGCTGTTGGCTCGGGGATGATAAATTCGTGCGAATGGCTTCACAAAACAATAGTTACAGTGCTTCCTTAGAAGGATAATTTCCATACTTCATTGTCTTCATGAACAACCAATTACTAAGTTTGTTCATATAGGTTGGTGGCGAGACTGGCGACCCAGAGTCTACCAAGATGCAGGACACAGAAGAAAGTGATGATTTACTGTATGCCTCTCTTCTGTTCCATGAGATTAATGCTGAATATCTATCAGATGAAGATACTGAACTAATTGAAGAAAAAGTTGATGAAAGTTCTCCAAACGATGATGAAGTTGTTATGGATATTAGTGATATTTTACAACAGATTGCATCTGCCAACATCGAAAATGAAAAAATTTCCAAATTCAGCATATGCCGCAGTAATATTTGCGATGCCATTTTTAGAGGAATGACTAGTTATCAGTCAAATTTACTGATGATGTCGGTCTCTCTGAAGGTGCAGTGGATATGGGTGGGCCAATGAGGGAATTTTTTACTTTATCCCTTGAAGCAATATTATCAAGCAAACTTTTTTGTGGGCAAGAGCATTCAAGGTTGTTGTCTTATGATGCTAAGGCTCTGAAACATGACGAGTACGTCATGGCTGGTCAGTTGATTTCAATGGCTCTAGTTCACGCTGGAGTAGCTCCTCGTTGTTTTAGCCCTGTGTTATTTGATTCTCTTATTAAAGGCCATGCGAAAGTTCATGTTCCTATTGATGCTGTGTATGATCTGGAGCTGCAGTCGACTCTTAAAAATTTAATGTCTGTTGAATCGGTCGATGAAGCCAATAGGTTGATAGCAGATAAGAAATTAGAGGAAATTCAAGAGCTTTCTGGCACCCTAAGGGTTCTGCGAAGCATAAGCGATGTTAAAGATGTGGTCAGGGCCGCCCAGAGGGGGGGCAAAGGGAGCAAATTGCCCCGGGTTGCTGGGGGCCCCTGAAAAATTTTTGTAGGGCCCCAGCCTTTTTTGTGTGTTAAATATTTCCGCGCAAAGGACAAGATATCTGTTTTCTTGGGCTCAGTACCGAATTTTTGCATAAAAAAATGAGATAAAGTCCCTCGAAAGCATTTGCAACGTACTCGTCCGGCAAAATTTTGTACTCCGGAAAAAATTTTTTACCCCTAAAATGGTACACTGACCGAAAATTTTTTGGCGACGGGGGGGGAGGTTGTTATCCGGAAAAAAATTTTTCCGGGAAAATTTTTTTAGATAGGGGCCCCTAACAAAAAAATTTGCCCTGGGCCCCCGCCAACCTCTGGGCGGCCCTGGTAAACATGTGGCGACTAATCTATTGATTAATGGGAAACTGAGTAAAGATAAACAACAAATTGCTAACGCATTTGGTGTATACTTTACTGAAACAGTATCGCGGCTGCACCAATCGTTTAGTAATCTTTGTAACAACATCGGAAATATTACATCGCAGTGTTTTTTCAATCGTTTAAACAGTGGTTTTGTATTTAAATTCGAGGAAGTGAAAGAGCAGTTTATTCTAAATAATTTGCATAAAATTGATGTTAAGAAAGCAGCTGGATTAGATAATATACCACCACGACTTCTGAAAGACTCTGCTAATGTTATTGCCAGACCACTCACAAAGATCATTAACGTATCCCTCGAACAGGGAACAGTGCCTGATCATTTCAAACTTGCTAAGGTAATTCCTGTTTTTAAGAAAGGACAACCCGAAAATATGGACAACTACAGACTGATCTCAGTTCTTCCCACAGTGTCTAAGCTATTAGAGAAAGCAGTCCATGAGCAGTTGTATACTAGATTTTTAACAACGAATCATCTCTTGAATCCTTACCAGTGTGGTTTCCGTAAATATCACTCAACGGAAACTGCGGTTATTTCTCTCACAGACTCTATTCGAAGGAACATTGACCAAAAGATGCTTACAGGAGCTATATTTGTAGACCTTAGGAAGGCGTTTGACACCGTAGACCACTCCCTCCTTTGGCCAAGTTGGAGAGTTACGGCGTAGTTGAAAGTGAACTTGAGTGGTTTAGTAGTTACCTTAACGATCGATCGCAAATAGTTACCTTTCAGAATATGCAATCAGTGCCATATAATATTTCGTCTGGAGTACCACAGGGGTCTATTTTAGGGCCCCTACTGTTCGTCCTGTTTATTAATAATCTTCCAGCAGCTGTTCAACAATGCAATGTTCTGATGTATGCCGATGACACGGTACTTTTCTTCGCAGACATGGACAGTGGTGTAATACAGAATGTGTTAACAACCGAGCTGGAAAATTTGAGAGCTTGGCTGATGGAAAACAAACTGTCTCTTAATAGGAAAAAAACAGAGACGGTGTTGTTTGGAACTAATGCAAACTTATCAAAGGTAACTAACTAATTATGAGCTCTCAATTGATGGCTTTCCATTGAAGCGTGTAACTGATTATTGTTATCTTGGTATTACTTTAAATGCAAATTTGTCTTGGCATTCACATGTTGATAATGTAGCAATGAAAGTGGGCAGCAGAATTGGCATGTTACGTCGACTACGGAACAACCTGACCCTAAATGCGGCGGAAACGGTTTATAAGTCGTTCATTCGCCCTCTTATGGAGAATGGGGACAGTATTTGGACGTGCTGTGGTGAGCAAAACAAAGGAAGGCTCGAGATACTCCAAAAGCGTGCTGCCAGAGTGATTTCCAGGTACCCGCGAAGTGATGACGCAATGGAAAGCCTCAGATGGGACCGCTTAGAATCGAGAAGAGACGTACATGTTCTCAAACTGGTTAAAAAATGTATTCTAGGGAAATGTCCACAATTTTTTAATAATTATTTCGTTTTTAATCGTGACAGTTCCTCGCGAATAACAAGACAATCAGACAAACTTCGTTTGCCTAAAGTAAGAACTGAATGTGCAAAGAATTCTTTTTATTATTATGGATGCAAGGTTTTTAATAAGTCTAATTAAGTCGATCGGGACATATAGATAGTTAGTTTATTGTAGGGATTTTAGATAATTTTATCCTATTATAGATAAAACTGTATTGTAGATATACTGTATATTTTTCAGGGCCCCTAAGGATAACAGTGAACATTCACTGATTGGGTCACTCTGTGTAAATAAAGTTCTTACATTACATTACATTACACAATACAATACAATACAATACAAATACAATACAATACAATACAATACAATACAATACAACACAACACAACACAACACAACACAACACAACACAATACAATACAACACGACATAAGGCAACACAATGCTGTATATAATAAATAATATAGCTTTAGTGCAAATAACAATTTATGGTATAAAATCTTTGCACGTTTCGATTGTTTTAATGTGGTCATGATAAAGCTGGTAATGCTCGTAGTGGTGATGAGGCAGATTGATGGTCATGGTTTGCTGATGGTGATATGATGGTGTTGGTTAGGTAATGATGCTTGTGATCACAATTCGCAATACTTGGTCATGGTGATAAAATATTTTTTATCTAAATAAAATCATTGGATTGTTTATTTTAATATGTATATATCTGAAGCTGATTACGTAATAATACTGTAGTGTGATGTTTTTAATATATATCTGAAGCTGATTACGTAATAATACTGTAGTGTGATGTGATGTTATAAAGTTGGTGTTTCTGATGACGGATTGTGGATGAGTGATAAGTGTTGATGAGAATGATACAAATCGACAAAGAAAGTTGCAGATATGTTCATATTTTGATTTTTTGTGAAAACTGATTGCTTGTAATAATTGGCTCTTGCAGGAAGATGACTATTCTGACATGGAAACCATCAAAATTCCACTACCCTCCGGCAGTTTGTTACTCATGTCTGGGGCAAGTCAGTCTGATTGGCAGGTAAATGTAATATTTTTCATAATAATGGTACTGGACCAATATTTAGTCATTTTCAGGATATGACTCGTGGTTTGTGTCTAAAGTCTCAACTGCCTGAAGAAGGATTAAAAGCATGAACTTCGACGTTTTGAGCGAGGACCATCCGTTTGGAGGTTGGTGCCTAGCTATGGCAACTTCCTGTCGAAGCACTAGTTTCAGCTTGTTCAAGGATGTTGGGGCTCATCAGCATGAAAAATACTCTCTTCTCGGCATTTTCAGTGAAAACGCTCCAGGTCCTTTCCTTTACGCTCAAATCTCCGTAGAAGGAAGACCCTGGGAACGAGGTTGAAGCGAAGAATCTTTGTTCGAAAGGTCGAGGTTTTTTATATCCAGACTGACAAGTACAATAATCCACAGTTCCTGATAGTATCTGAACCACGGTCAATGAACCCCTAAGTTTGATAATTATGTTCTGTATAACAGTGTTTGTAAAATATTTAAGGCCTCTTTCGGACGTGGAACCTTTAATTAATATGGTGAATCCAGGGCTTTCAAAACAAGGCGGTGGCCGCCGGAGCGGGAGTTATGAGGTTTACTGCCGGCAACTTTCTTTAAACAATACTGTGCATCCACTTCGCTTTTAAGCATTGGCCAAGGAATAGCAACAATAAACTAATCAAGTTAGATTTGTAAGTTTAACTGTCTATTGTCTAAAAAAAGAACTAACTATAGTAACTATGCCACCAAGGAGAAACGTTTATTGGAAATTTCTCTGCTCATTAGCAATACATAATTATATTCTTTTGACAAGAATTTAAAGTATAGTGTAACTAAGCTTATATATATATAGCTTCTTCAGCTAATTGACCAAGACAAAAATGTACAAAAAGATGAAAATAATTCTAGCACTGTCATAAAATATTTCCTTAGACCTAGTAAAAATATTCCTGCATTGAGGACAACCGCCTATACTTTCTCACCACAGCCGCACTCACTTAAAAAGATAACAGTATGAAATATAAGTTCTCGACGATTAAGAGATGCCTGCGGAGGAGGTTATGAAAGCCCTATGAATCTATATTGTAAATATTAATGTAACAAACCTTTTGTTTGAAGTTTATTATCCTTATTTGTTATCCCTATTTGCATTAGGATTTGATAAATGAAACGTTCGACGTTTAAAACAGATCTTGACCTACTAAATTTTGTATTTGTGATTTCAGCATCGTGTACCAAAAGAATACCACAACCGAGGACCTCGTATCAATCTAACATTTAGAAACATCATACCTTTTGATACGTAGTGTTTTATCTTGTTGTAATGTATTGTAAATTAATTATGGAATATGTAATTATATAATAAATATTATAAACTTGTGATAAAGTGATGATGAACTAATGATAAAGTTTCAAACATTGACATTGTGAAAATTATCGTGATAAAATCAGGGATATTTTCAAGCACTTTAGTCTACTACCGTTTTTCAGAAGAAGATTGAGTTTCTTTTGGGGGGAGGACGTTAAAATATTTTGTGGTAAGGATCGCACATTCCAAAATATTTTGGAGGGGTTTAAAATATTTCGGGATCGAGTTATTACGTGTTTACATCTTGGAATGGGGAGTTCCACGAGGCGCCAGCGTGGTTGGCGGCGAGCGGAAAAAGTTTGAAACTTTGAAGTCTCTAGATCGTCGGAAATGGCACTTTCAGAATCTAGTTTGGCCATCAGCTGGCTGTAGAGCACAGAAAGGAAGTTGATTCATGCAGTGTATAATGGCAATTAGCAATTCTGTAACCTTACTTATTATTTTTTGGACACTGTCCAAAAACTAAATCTCACGGAAAAAACAATTTTGCGTAATGTTTGCACCGGACGATCGGGACCGACAAATGGTTCATTTGGCACCGCCTTTTTTGACTATTTCTCAAAATTATGGGGTGTCACACCCCTTCACACACCCCGTAATGTGCGGCCCTGTTTGTGATGCACATTTCTAGTGTGCATGGGCATGAATATTCCTCTACGAGATTTTGTGTCTCAGAAGTGAAACAGTTTTCGACAGCTTTTTGAAATTTGCTGATACATGGCCCGGAATTTGACTCTTCCTCACATGTACGAACCCTGTATAAATCTAACCTCGATCATTTAACTAGTCAACTGTGTATAATATATATTTGTGATTAATATTTTTACAAGTTCCATTTATTGAACTCCTTGGCAACAATGCAATCACCATGAGCAGATACATGTACGCTTTTCGTACCTATTTTTAAATATGATATGGAGTGCCATTATTTCTGAATAAATTAACCCATGCTCCTGATGACTAAAATCATTTGGTGTCTAATAGACAGAGTAAAATAATAAAGTAGGGCACATTAATTTGTCTAAATCCAGAGGGGAGCGCGGCGCAGAGCGCTGGCTTTGATGATATCATCTCCAACATGAATGGGCTATTCCATTTAATATCCGTACCCCCCCCCCCTGTCGAGGATACATGTTCTTCATAGCTATACCCCTGAAGAATTCCAAGCTCAAATCCTTTTACCGCTGAAGAATTCCAAGCTCAAATCCTTTTACTGCTGAAGATTTCCAAGCTCAAAACCTTATAGCCCTAAAGAATTCCAAGCTCAAAACCTTTTACCCCTGACGAATTCCAAAATCCCAGCTCAAAACCCTTTATCCCTGCAGAATTCCAAGCTCAAAACCTTTTACCCCTGAAGAACTCCAAGCTCAAAACACGTTACCCCTGAAAAATTCCAAGCTCAAAACCCTTTATCCCTAGAGAATTCCAGGGATCCTCGACAGGGGCGGTATGGATATTAAATGGAATAGCCCAATCGTCCCAGGTATATCGGCAATTGCAACAAAATGATTTCCAAACAAAGGCCTCTGTCCATGTTTAATGCTGAATGAGAGAAAAGAAAAAATGGTTGGCTGAATGATTGACTAAAGCGTGTTGTTGATGGAAATTATCAAGTGGAAATTTACATACATTTTAGTAGACCTAACCAGGAAAAGAGTTCTGAAAAATGTAACTTTAGGTCCTTGGCAGGAATCGAACCTGTCGTCTTGCGATTCCGGTGCAGTGCTCCAACCAATGTATAGCCAGGCCAGCTATAAGGTTCTAAAACCACAAGCTCCTCTATATATAAATATAGGGTTAGGTAAGTACTGTCATGTTTTAGGTTATGGACAAATATTAAGAATTTGTTGGCACTGAATAGGTCTTTAATTTGTTGGCATACTGGTTTAATATATACCTTCCACCTGTGGTTTGATTTCCTGGTTTAATTCCTGTAATATAAGCATCGTTATTTGAGTGAAATGTCGCACATGGTACAGAGTGCTTCCGGTCTGACTTTGTACCAATTGCAAACGTAAGGTATACATGGTTAACCGTAAGGGACCATTCATTATTTATGACTGGGGGTGGACTGGCAAAAAAGGGGGATGGGTCATGAGGTATTTTTGACTGAAAAAGGGGGGGCACCTAAAAATATTGGTTCAGAAGGGGGATCCAGTTATTTAGTTGCAGTTAAATGTATTTACTTGTGGGCCACATTATTTTATACCGCCTGGGGACGAGGCAGCTCGACAATTAACCAAACTGCTTCCAAGCTTGGTGGGATTAACCGATCACTTCATTTAGCCAATCAGATTACGAGCTTTTTCGGATCGTGATGTGATTGGTTAAAATGAAGCCGGATGTTTAAAAATGATGTTTAAAAAAATCAATTCTGAGATGCATTGGGAAAAATTTAAAACCATTAGAAATAAAATTAATGCTGAAATTAAAAATCTTAAAGCTAACTATTTCAATACTAAAATATCTGAGTGTCTTCAGCATAAGAACGTAAAAAAAAGTTGGTCCTTGATTAATAACCTACTCGGGAAAAATTCAAAATCAACCATTATCAATGAAATTAGGACTGATAGTAATGTAATTCTTACAGATAGAAACCTGATTGCAAACAAATTAAATCATTATTTTGTTAATATTGGTCCCTCGCTTGCACTCAGGGTGGAAGAAAATCATCATACCTCTGCTGGTGTGACAAATCGTGGTGATTTAGAATGAAACACAACTTTTTGTTTTCTGATATAAGTGTTCATCAAGTTTTAAACAACTTAAAACAACTAGTAACATCCAAAGCTACTGGCGTAGACAAAATTCCAGCTAAAGTTCTTAAATTATCTGCAGATATAATTGCACCATCTCTGACAACAATCTTTAACCAATCACTACATACTGGCATATTTGTCAATGACTGGAAATTAGCACGTGTACAACCGATTTATAAATCTGAGGATAGAAGCAAATGTGAGAATTACCGTCCAATTTCTATTCTCCCAGTTGTAAGTAAAATCTTTGAAAAAGACATTTTTCAGCAATTATATAGTTATTTATCTGCAAACTCACTAATTTCAAAGTTTCAATCTGGATTTCGACCTAAACATTCATCCCTAACCTTACTTCTCCAGATGTGCGATGAATAGCTAAAAAATATGCATGAGGGTAAAACAACTGGTCTTGTTTCTCTGGATATCAAGAAAGCATTTGATTCAATTAACCATCAAATTTTAATGTCAAAAATGAAAGACCAGTTTGGTATTTGTGAAAATGAATTGAATTGGTTTACCTCTTACTTGACAGATCGTCAGCAAGTTTGCTGTGTAAATGACCATATATCCTCTTGGAAATCCATAGAAAATGGTGTGCCGCAGGGGTCCATTCTCGGTCCTTTGATGTTTTTATTATATATTAATTAATGATTTGCCGCAATATTTAAAATTTACAACTCCGGGTTTATATGCTGATAATACGCAGATATTTGCCTCGTCTGATAATTATGATGAACTGGTGGAACTATTAAACTCTGATTTGAAAAATATTAGTAGATGGCTTTCGGATAGCAAACTGCAACACCATACTACTAAAACTATAAGCTCCTCAGGTCTGAGTAAATAAGCTCCGAGGTCTCAGTAAATAAGCGTTTTATTATATATCAATAGTCAAAGAAACAACAAATGAAAGAACAAATGAACGTAAATACATGAAATATTTTATTGTTAAAACGTTATATTAAACACTGGCTACACTGCAATTACTTAAAGCGAAAGTTTTAATTACGTACTAGGCATGTCCAAAGGTCGCATCTTCACGTAATGGCCCACGTGATTTTTTTGTTATTCGCCGGTCGATAATGTATTATCTGTGGTATTATCTCCCTCTCGCGCTGTTGTGAGGGAAACAGCCTAATTTCGTCACTCTCACGTGATATGCTCTCAACCAATAAAACACTAGAAAAATGCGAGTTTGACTATTGATATATAATAATGTCACTTGTCTCATGAGCTGTTGGAATCAGTCGCTGTGCTATAATTAACCAATGGGCTTTAAGACATAGAGGGGCTTATATTTGGAATGGCCTGCGTGTTAATGTAATAATGAATATAGTGGGCTTATACACAGGGGGCCTATACCGAGGGGAGGAGGTTATATTCTAAGGTTTACGGTACATTACTATCCAATGTTTCATATATCCTAGCTGAATCATACATATTGTCAAATACAATATAAACACGGTTGAACACGGTTCCGGAAAGTACTGACAACACTTTGGCCAACCTATTCGTGATTGACGTTAGGCTTTATAGCCAAAGTGAGATACTTTCCAGAAGGGTTTATTCTGTATGCAAGAATATACACTATGTGCAAGATTTTAGAAACTTTATATCCAGGTTTATAAGGAAGTTTATAATAATTATTAAATATAGGGTTCATAAATGCAAATACTAATCAAGCCAAACTAAGAACTTTCCTCTTTTGACGACTAAAGCAAACTTTAGACAAGAATATTTCGCATCAACTATCGTCAAAAAAGGAAACAAAACGGAACAAAACATATTAAAAGCTTTGTACCTTTCGTGTCAGTACTAGAAAGTACGTAGAAACCAACGGCGGCGCGACCTAGCTATTGGTTAATTGACGGTGTAGATTTCACTTCGCCCTCATCTTTTCCAGCCGATTTTTGAGCCGTCTCGCACGTGTCTCGAACTCGCGGACCAGTGCGAAATTTTCCTGCGTCCTGATTGGATGATGCATACGCGCATGCGTTTGTTTCAAAGGTTTGGTAAACACCGAACTAAAGCGTCCCACATGCACCACACCAGGCGACTGTTACGTACTCAGAGGCGTAGCCAGGGCTGGGGCCGGGGGGCCCGGCCCCCTGGCAAAATTTTGCCCCCCCCCCACCTGGCAAAATTTTTGGGGCCCCCCTGATAAAATGTATTGTATAAAAAAGGAAATCCTTGATTATATAGCTTCATGCTGTCAATAATGCAAAAATTCTGTAGAATATATGCTTTGT